TCCAGTCTGGGCAACAGAGTGAGACTCCAACTCAAAAAAATAAAAATAAAATAAAATAAATAAAGTTAAGATAAATGATCCAATTCAAGTACTATATGTATGTTTTTAGTTTGGACAGAGAAAATTTAGTATAAAGGATTATTAACCAGGAAACAGAGTGGAAAGGTGATTGTCAGGGACTGGGGGTGGAGGAGAGAAATGAGAGATTTAGGTCAAAGAATACCATGTTTCAGTTTTAAGTTGAATCAGTTCAAGTATAATATTTATAAATTGGGATATATCTTTAGGACCATTGGGAGGCTGAGGTAAGAGGATTGCCTCAACAAATAAATAAATAAAATTAGCCAGGCGTAGTGGCGCACACCTGTAGTTCATTTTGCACAACCAGATGTTGGAAATCTAGTACTATTTCTGTATCCTAAAATTTCTTTCTTTTTTTGTTTTTTTGAGTGAGAGTCTCACTCTGTCACCCAGGATAGAGTGCAGTGGCACAATCATGGCCACTGCAGCCTCGACCTGCTGGTCTCAGGCAATTCTCCTGCCTCAGCCTCCTGAGTATCTGGGACTACAGTCACGTGCCAACACGCCTGACTGATTTTTTCAGAAACAAGATCTCTCCAAGTCGCCCAGGATGGTCTCGCCAAGTTGCCCAGACTGATCTCAAACCATGGGCTCAGGCAATCCTCTTGCCTCAATCTCCCAAAGTGCTGAGATTACAAGCGTGAACTTCTACGCCCAGTCAATATCCTAGAATTTCTTAAAACGGAATTATTTTATCACAGCTGGTATCAGCAGAAATAGGGATATTTTTAGGATCAACAATTCAGAAATGAATCTTAAAAAAATGTTTTTGAATGGTTACCCAATCTTACTCAAGCTAGCATTTGTTTAGATCTGAACTCTCCAACAGAATCACCATTGGCTGCATATGGCTATTTAAGTTTAAACTAACTAGGCCAGGCTTGGTGGTTCACATCTGTAATCCCGGTACTTTGGGAGGCTGAGGCAAGAGAATTGCTTGAGCCCAGGAGATCAAAACTAGCCTATAGTGAGACTTCATCTCTACAAAAAACCAGAAGTTAGCCAGGTGTGGTGGCATGTGCCTGTAGTCCCAGCTGCTCAGGAGGCTGAGGAGGAAAGATCACCTGCGGCGAGCCATGACCATGCCACTGCACTCCAGCCTGGGCAACACAGTGAGACCCTAACTCAAAAAGGAATAAATAAATAAAGTTAAACGAACTAAAACTGAGTAACATTAAAGATTCAGTTCAAGCCGGGCTTGGTGGCTCAGCCTGTAATCCTGTGCCTTTGGGAGGCTAAGGTGAGTGGATTGCCTGAGCCCGTGGGTTCGAGACCCGCCTGGGCCGGGGAGACCTCATCTCTACAATAAATCAAAAAATTAGCCGGGCGTGGTAGCGCGTGCCTGTAGTTCCAGCTACTTGGAAGGCTGAGGCGGAAGGATCGTCGGAGCCCAGCAGATCGAGGCTGCGGTGTCCGGGAGGCCACTGCACTCCAGTCTGGGCGACAGAGTGAGACTCCAACTCAAAAAAAAAAAAAAAAAAAAAAAAAAGATTCAGTCATCACTCACCCTGGCTGGCCACATTTTAAGTGCCCAACAACCACATGTGTTTGGTAGCTACCTATAAACATTTGTATCACTGCAGAAAGTTTTGCGGGACTGTGCTGGGCTAGAGGTCCAGCATTGTGAAATGGTTTAAGGTTTCACCTTCTCCTCTCAAGTGTTTCCAAAGCCCTCAGACCGCTGCTGTCTTGAGGCATCTTTGCAGTCTCTCAGAAAACCCTCTAGTGGGGGGACAGCAGCTGGGACCGTCCAGTTCCTGGCCCAGCAGCTACTGTAGTGTTCCTTTGGGGGCATTGCACATCAGCCAAGCCCCAAGTGTGCTCTGCATTCCTGAGGGACTTAGGACTGGCCTGGATTCAGCTGTCAACAGGGGCCCGTCTGAGACATCCTAAACAACCCAGTAGAGAAGGGTACCCGCAGGAAAGGGGAGATTAAGGGGTTGTTTACCAACCTAGAGGGCAGCAAATATGTTGAATCATTCCAGGACAATCAAAAACTAGGAAGAACCCTATGAAAGTTTTCGGTTTTTTTCAATTTAGTATGTCCTTGTAGATTCCTATTATATTTTAAATTCTGGGGGTGGGGAGTATTGTAGATTAAATATTAAGAGGATCCTTCTCCAGTACTTACATTTATTTAACAGTTTTTGTGCACATATCTTACCAAATAAAATGTGTGTATTGGCTTAAAAATTAGTTTTCAGCCAGGCACAGTAACTCTCACCTGTAATCCCAGCACTTTGGGAGGCCAAAGCAGGAGGATTGCTTGAGGCCTGGAGTTTGAGAACAGCCCGGGCAACATAACGAGACTCCATGTCTACAAGCAATAGACAAATTAGCCAGGTTTGGTGGCACACATCTGTTACCCCAACTATTCAGGAGGTTGTGGCAGGAGGATCACTTGAGCCCAGGGAGTCGGAGGCTGCAGTGAGCTATGACTGTGTCTTTGCACTCCAGCCTGAGAGACAGAGCGAGATCCTATCTCTAAGGGAAAAAAATTAGTTTTCTTTCTCCATACAGAAATTATTTAGAATCACCAGACTAGACTAGCTCAGGGAAAGAGGTAATTTTCTAAGAAGCAAAGATAAAATCAAAGGTCTTAATTGCAAAACAATTGAACAGCCCTTTCACAGAGTCTTTGTAATGAAAGACAGAGATAAACAGTTCATGTGGGTTTCATGGAGGATGTGCATGCATTGATATTACGGTTTCCTTTTCCCCTACCCCAACCTCAAAAGGTACCACCTGACTGGGAGAGAGCATCCTTCCAACAAGCCAGTCAGGCCAGCCCAGATTTAAAGCCGAGTCCACAAAACGGCGCCACGTTTCCCTCTGGAGGATATGGCCAGGGGTCGCTGATAGCCGATGAGGAGTCCCAGGAGTTTGATGACCTGATATTTGCATTAAAAACGGGTATGTATGAGTCCCCGGAGCACATTAGAAGTGGGCCCTCTTGCTGTGCTGTGGTTTATTACTTCTTCCCATGAAGTTGCAAATGGACAGTCACTCACCCTCAGCACATCCTGATTCTCATGACCCATTCCTAATCCCAGGCAAACTCTAGGATATTTTGTTCTTGGCACCAAAAATAATGCAACCTAAAAATAATTTACAATTTGCTTTTAAGAAAAAGGCATACTCTAACTAAATGTAAATATCCCTTTCCTGGAATCTTGCTAGGACACCATGATCCTATTGAGACAAGTTCACTATAAGACAGTCTGTCGGGATCTCACTGAGGGGGTTTTGCCTCTGACCTGCCCAAGAGGTTTTCCTGTGGAGGCTCTTTGAAGCAGAAACTGGCAAAGGAGTGTTGTATCGTTTTATAGTTTCCAAAGTGCCATTGCACACGGCATTTTATTGACACTTCTATATATTTAGTCCCATTCAACTCTGACCCCAAGGGATAGCTCTTACAGAATGAGAATATAGTCCTAGGGGTTCCACTTTGGCAGCATATCACCCAGTGTCTAAACAGTGATCGTGCCACTGCTCCCTAGGCAACAAAGTGAGACCCTGACTCATAAATAAGTATATAAATAATTACTTAAACTTATAAAATTTTTTAAAAGAAAGAAAGAAAAAGAGGCTGAATGTCGTGGCTTGTGCCTGTAATCCTCCCAGCACTTTGGGAGGCCAAAGCAGGAGGATTGCTTGAGCACAGGCGTTCAAGACCACCTGGGCAACATAGTGAGACCTCATTTCTATTAAAAAATAAATTAAAAGATAACCAAAAAGGAATTTTAGTTACTTTCAAATCCAATATGCAGGGTTTGTTTGTTTGTTTGTTTGTTTGTTTGTTTTTTGAGTTGGAGTCACTCTGTCGCCCAGACTGGAGTGCAGTGGCCACTCCTAGCCACCACAGCCTCGACCTGCTGGGCTCCGGCGATCCTTCCGCCTCAGCCTTCCAAGTAGCCGGAATTACAGGCATGTGCTACCACACCCGGCTGATTTTTTTATTTATTGTAGAGATGAGGTCTCGCTGCCCAGGCGGGTCTCGAACCCGCTGGCTCAGGCAATCCACTCACTTCAGCCTCCCAAAGGCGCGGGATTACAGGCTGAGCCACCGAGCCCGGCAATATGCAGTTTTTAAAAAACTTTTTCCTCAGAAAAATGTTGAACTGTTATAAAAATTCCAGTGAGCTCTTCATTTCTAGATATCCACACAAACAAGATATGTCCATGCCCAGATGAAGCTATTAAAATGTCTTTCAAAGTGCATTTTACTATTGTACAGTGTGACTGCCTGAATATAAAGTATATTGCTTTGTTAAAATGCTTTTCTTTGTCATTATAAAGTAAAAATTTGTCACATTATATCTTAAGGATTACTCCACAATTCTTAGGAATAACATCATATTTTTGTATTTCGTGTTTTATAACTTGCTTAAGATCACATATTTAAGAAATGGTGGTGGCATAAACAAATCAAGGCCACCTGGCACCTGACTCTGGGCTCCCAACTGATGTGCCACTCAGCCACTCAGGTACTTAACTAGGAATGGCAAACCTTGTCAAAATGAATTAGAACTCAACCTTGTTTTCAGAATAGTGCTTAGCACTTGATATACCTTTGGTGGGCATTGTTGAAAAATGAAGGAATGTGTGACTAAACAAATGACTCTTAGAGTGTACTGAAGGCATAGACATGCACGTAACTGGAACTCAAGGGAGAATAGAAACTGATGAAGAGAGTTATAACTTCCTGAGGTGATGGGGGGCACACAATTAATTCTTGAGGAATGCATAGATTTTAAACAGGTGAAAAATGCAGGAAAGGGCACTGTGGACTGAGAAACAGGGTGAACCGAAACCCAGTGTCTTCACAGTGTGTCCACAGTGTGGCTGGGGCAGAGGGTGAATGTAGCCAGGCCAGAAAACAGCCTGCCAGGCAGCTGACCAACTTCGTCAGTAGGCTATCAGAGTTCCCCAGGTGGGTTTCAGCCTGCACCCTCCTTGAACTATTCGTGAGCATTCCTCCATGGGAGGATCCCTGATCAAGAATACTGGAAAATTGGAGAGATTCACTATTCACATTTTAGCAACTCTAAGAAGTCCTAGAGTAAGACCCCCACTTCACTTCTTTTAACCTGGTTGTTTCCAGCACATGTTTAGTGCCAGATGCATTTGAAGGGAGTGGAACACTTACTGAAATTTTGCATAATATTAAAATGCTATTCAGATACTGTAGTAAAGAGAAGGATTTTTCTAGAGCATAGTGAGCCACGGAGAGCTTAGAAAGGGAGGAATGATGTGTTCCCTTTGGTTTTGAAGCAAAATAGTTTCCGAAAGTAGGAAGAATAAATTCAGAGGCAAGAACAGAAAGGCTGGGAAGTTATTGCAGTGGTCCACAAGAAGGAGACTGAGGCCTCAGATCTGGAGAATAGAAATAAAATGAGAAAATGCACACAGGAGGAAGAACCGAGAGCATAATCAGCAGAAGCTCATGCCTGTCTCCTGGTTGCCTGACAGAAGGAATCCTGTGTAAAGTATGTGTTTGTTTCTCTGTTGGCAAGGGCACACTGACAGATTCAGATCTGGACATCAGGCCTGGTGGCTCCTAAGAATTCAGGTTTGGGTCTGAGGCGGGTCTGAGGCAAGGGACCAGGCTAGAAAGTCATGATTGGACAGCAGCACAGAGATGATATCTGAAGCTCTGGGGATGAAAAAATGTGACCTGGGAGAAGGGAAGGAGAGAGAAGAAATGAAAAGAGACAAGGAAGGGAGGGGAGCAGAAGGAAGGGAAAAGAGACCAAAAACATTCTAGATAGGACCTACACTTAAAGAGGGTCCCACAAACAAACAAGATCAGCAAGAAAACCAAAGAGGAAAGGGGGCTTCAGGAAGGAGGGAGCCATCAGCCACGTAAGGAGCTCCTGAGAATGGGGGCTGACAGGGGCTTTCAGATACAAAGAAGTCTCAGGCCTAATCATGTCCTCAGTACTACAGGATCATCAGTTGTTGATGTTATGACACTGGAAACATAGAATGAATGCTTGGAGCGTAATTAAATCAGATCTGTGTTCTATATATAAAGCGACCGTTAAATGCATCTGGCTCAGGAATGTGTGGAATGACTTGCTTACTTATAGATTGGGTTTAGCATTCCTTAGAGTTCCCTGAACTCACTAGGAAATACATACTTTAAATGACCCACATAACAATCTTGAACATTGCTATTTTTAGAAAAAATGCTGCAGTAATCAAACACCACTCCCTTGAACACTTCCTATCGTAGTCAAATAAAGAATCAGTCCACGTGCCATTTTATCTACATAGGCCAGATTCAGCCCACGAGGTGTTTTTGTTTGACACACCTAGCACCTTAACATGTTTTGAGCCAATATTTAAAATTTAGCGATATTTATAAAAATCCAGAATTTCTAGAAAAATCGAGCAATAGCATGCTTGAAGTCCAGTACAGCACTGCCTGATTAGAACAGGGAAATGGCTAGGGAATGGCTCCCCAGTCTGTCCAGTGCCGACTCAACCATGTCACTGGTGCATGACATTTGAGAAGGCAAACCCCTTCTCTAGGGCTGTTCCAAGTCAGGTCCTGGAAACGTGAATCTCCCACGTCCTTTTTATCTGGACCCCTAAACAACCTTTTAAAACTGTGTAGCTCTTTGTTTGTTTTTGCTTTTGTTTGCTTTTGAGTTGGAGTCTCACTCTGTGGCCCAGGCTGGAGGGTAGTGACACGCTTCCAGCCACTACAGCACTGACCTGCTGGGCTCTGGCGATCCTTCCACCTCAGCCTTCCAAGTAGTCAGAACTACAGGTGCGCGCTACCACGCCCAGCTAATTTTTTAATTATTGTAGAAACAAGGTCTCGCCAAGTTGCCCAGGTGGGTCTCGAACCTGCGGACTCAGGCAATACACTCGCCTTGGGCTCCCAAGGTGCTGGAATTACAGGCTGAGCCACCGAACCTGGCCTGTTTGTATATATTTAAGTAGACATCTTCAGTTTTTCATAGTAAGTCTAAATAGTATAAAATATTGTAATTTCCACTGTCTCATATATTTGGGTTTTTTTTGTTTTGTTTGAGTCAGAGTCTCACTGCCACCCAGGCTGGAGTGCAGTGGCGCACTTGTGGCCACCCCAGCATCGACCTGCTGGGCTCAGGCAGTCTTTCCGCCTCAGCCTTCCAAGTAGCTATAACTATAGGCGCACACTACCACATCCAGATAATTTTTTGATATATTTGTAGAGACGAGGTCTCACCAAGTTGCCCAGACTGGTCTCGAAACCCTGGGCTCAGACAATCCTCTTGTCTCGGCCTCCCAAAATGCTAGGATTATAAGCTTGAGCCACAGCACCTGGCCAAATTTTGGTGTTTTAAAAGAGAAAATTTACATTATTTTTTAAAAGCAATCCAAAGGTATCTTTGCTAATTACCTTAGCAATTTGACACCCACCCTTATTCATTCTTTAAATATATGAGCAGACTTTTCTTTTACAGCTGGAAATTTTATGTCATTCTCTTTTCTCCTTGAATTTATATTTCCATTCTACTTTCTCCACAAAATTTTATCCTACTGTAATATTTTATGTTTGAGTTCTTTTTTTTGAGCCAGGGTCTCACTCTGTCCTCCAAGCTGGAGTGTAGTGGCATGATCACAGCCTCAGTCTCCTGGATTCAGGCAATCCTCCCACCTCAGCCTTCCAAATAGCTGGGACTACAGGTGCATGCCACCATACCTTGCTAATCTTTTATTTTTTTGTAGAAGCGAGGTCTCACTATGCTGCCCAGGCTAGTCTCGAACTCTCAAGTAATTCTCCTGCCTTGGCCTCCCAAAATGCTGGGATTACAGGCATGAGCCAACGCACCCGGCCTTGAAATTCATTTACTCTTCACCCACGCACATTTCTCTCCAACAAAACGTCTTTATGTGTTGAAATATAAATTTCTTCT